ATTGCAACACATTTGTTTAAACAAGGTAATTGTAGCCGAGCGGGCGATGAAATTTTTGGATGTAGAAAGTACAAAAATAATAAAATGCTGTAAAACTTAAAACAAAATTTCAATTTTCTCCAAATTTCCGTTGTGTTGACGTACCCCCTTCCTCCCAGGGGGTGCTCATACCACTGGCTGAGAAACACTGGGCTAGGGAAATGCTTGGAAGCCCCGACCCTACCCACGGCTCTGGAAGCATTGCGGGGCCTTTACCTGCTGGCAGAACCAGCGTGGAGGCATTTGGGAAAGAGAATTTACGTTCTCAGGTGCGGAGGAGGAGAGGGTGTTGTCAAATGTGGTCCCAGTGGCCACATGGACAAGTCCTTAGTTTCTGAAGCCAGAAATTATTGGTTCAAGTCCCACTTGGCATAATGTGTAACCCTTGCAGCCTGGGCTCTTTGAGTGCTGCAAAGTGACACTTAAGGTGTAGTGGTGCCCTGTTCTCCTGTGTTGCTCGTGTCTGGATGGTCTTGGATTTCCCCCAAAGCAGGCCCTATAACCAGCTGGTTTCCCTGGATAGAGACTTGCTCACTCCTGTGTCTCCTTCAGCTGGTGCATTTCCTTCCATAGAACCCACCTCCATCTAGAGTTTCATCATTCAGTCTGGGTGCTCCCTGCCCCACTGGATTCTGGGGCCCCAATACAGGGGGAGCTACAGTTACTGCTTCAGGTCCTTGGGCCACTTCTCTGTAGCCCTAGCACCATCTTCACTCTCCTCCCAGGATCATGTCTCACCTCAGATGACTGGGGAGGTGACAAATGCAGCTGCTGCTGAAGTAGCTCAGTTGGGCCCATGTTAGACTGAAGGTCCTTGCTTCAGGGCTTGGCTGGGCTCTTTGTCCCCTGAGCCTCTAGAGCTGGGCGTTTTATAGCATCAGCCATGGCGCTGCCCTGCTGAGAATTCCTGCCTTTCAGCAGCTCCCTGGAAGCACCTTGTCTGCCCTGCTGCTCCCCCTAGGGCCCAGCATGCCCTGCCTCAGCCAGGGGAGGGAAAAGAAGCTGAGCAACCCAAATCATGAGCAAACAATGAGAGTGAACCCCATTGCAGGGCCTGAGCCCTGTCTAGCCCATCTTCACTGAAAAAGACTCAGCAGCTTTCTCAGCCCAATAGGAAAGCTGGTAGGTACTAGACACAGCCTGACTACCAAGCGACTGGAGTACTTTGCAGCTCCCACCACACTTCACTTCTCACCTTACTGTGTACTAGGCAGGGGAAATGCAGGTTTTCACCCTGAATGGGATTTGAACCCACAATCTCTTAACTCCAGAAACCAATATGTTGTCCGTTACCCCACTGGGGTTATAGGTCAAGGGGCTTGTGGAATGTAAATCCTCTCCGAAATGCACATTCCTCTCAGGCACTTGGAAGACAAGTCCCGTTTCTCCACCTCGCAGCCATGTCTGCAGCCCCTCTCGGCCAGACCCTGGGGCAGGCCACTGACAGAGCTGGACCACCCTTTCCCCACAGACATCTAGGGAAGACCCCTTCCTAGAGTCAATCCTCCCCCTTCGGCATGTGGACGATCTGGGGTAAATCCAGGGCTGGGCAGGTGCTAAGGGCAGCCTGCAGGAGTGACCAGGATGGGCACACCCAGGGTGAGGCTCATGGATGCTGGGTGGCTGGTGGGGTCAGAGCTCCAGCTAAAAGCTGCACAGCCACGGGACAACCCCTATACAAGGCAGACAGAGGGAGAAACTATTACGGGCCTGGAGGAGCCCCGAACGGTCTCACCTTGTTCCCAAGGACATTGGGGAGTCTCCGTCCCTTTTGAACATGCACCAGAAAGCAGAACAAGTCAGCAGGTCTCTGCCTGAGCTGATGTTCCTGGCCCCAGGCTCTGGAGGGACGAGCTGCCCTCACTTGCAGTGGAAACCCTCAGGTCTTCCTGTCACACGCTAGAAACCCGTCTAGCCTGGCGCCGGCTCTTCCCCCAGCCCAGGCCTTGTTCCTCAGCTGATTCCAAGAGGCTCTTCTGGGCGGGGAGTCAATGAGGAACCATGATGGTGTCACACCCCTGCCTCAAAGAGCTTGTGCAGAAGGCGAGAAACTTTTGTCTCCGATCTTAGCTCCCAGGCCTGTCAATGGGCAAAAACTGGTATTCCCAGGTGGGGTCCAGTCCCAGGTGAGCTGGTCACAGCAGCCAGGACAGGGGCTTTTCCCAATAGTCCATTGACTTGAATGAGGCCTTCCGACCCAGCCATCTAGATAGACTCTCTTTTGCCTAGAGGCCATTCCCCAGGGGCACACAGATTTCCTCTCCTTCAGCTGATCTCTGGAAGCACCTTGCCTGCCCGGCTCCTTCCCCTAGGGCCCGGCTTGCCCTGCCTTTCTTCTCTTGCTCTGCCTCAGCCAGAGGAGAGAAAAGACACTTTCCTTCACGCTGAACCAGCCACCTAAGGATAACGTACTGAGGTCCTACGACAGCCCTCTGCTCTGCCAGCTGAGCTATCGAAGGGCAGCTGTGGGTCTAGCGTCTGCTTCTTTGCCCTTAATCATGTTGGAGGGAGTTGGGAAGAGGCAGCATGGTGTTGGGACACAGAATGGTGGGGCTCCTGGGTCGTGCAATACCGTGAGATACCTGCCCTTCCCCACGAATGGGGGGCACCCAGATGGTAGCACAGCCCAGTCATACAGAAGACTCTGTGGCACCATCAGCAGAGAGTGTCTTAGCTGAGCAAACCAATTCCTGAGGCAACCAGCAGGTGGTGCTGCCCTCTGGAGTGAATCCCATTGCGGGGCCTGAGCCCTTTCTGGCCAATCTCCACTAAGCAAGACCCAGCTGCTCTGTCAGTTCGTCGGGGGTTCTGGTACTTGCTGGAGACGTGCATGAGCGGCAACACGGTACCAAAGTGAGTGGGGCACTGTGCAGCTCCCACCAGACTCCAGCCCTCCATTCCCTTGTGGCAGACAGGAGAGACTCCAAACAAGACAAGCCCGACAAGCAGGAATTCTTTGCAAACAGATATAATTATTTATTTAGTTGCCGCATGGTAGGCCCAGCCCCATCTATAGCAACACTGCAGCCGCCCCGGGCTGGCTGGGTAGCTGAAGCAGCCGTTGACAAGGCAACCTTGGAATTTTTTTGTGGGGGGGCTGCGTGGCTTCTTCTGTGTGGGCCTCTTGCAGCTTCTGCCCCTCCCCCAGGTCCCGATCCCACCACTACGGCCTTTATATAGTGATTGTTCACTCAGCCTCAGCCAATCAGCTTCTGCCCTCGCCTCCTGTCAAAGCTGTATTGTAAAATTTAATTGAAGGTGTAACACATTTCAAACACTGAGACACCATCTTTTCAATTCTTCACAGCCACGTACAACTGCCTGGTGTCCCGAGAGTACCCTGGTCCCTGGTACCTTCCCTCAGCAGGCAGAAAATAGAAAAGGCCCTGGAAACTCCTCCATTTTGTCCTCAGTTGTACTCCTTGCTTCTGGAGGATCTTTGCTACAAACTGAAGCGCCAAACAAAGGACCGAATGATCCATCCAACCTCCATATGTGCTCCAGAGACGTGACTTAAGGCAGCAGTTTATTCTATCACTCCTACTAGCTGGAAACCAAAACTTTGTGAACATTGTGTTTACTTGAGGATGCGCTGTTCAGTCTGATGAGTTGAAACCATCTTCTCTCCTCTTTCTTGGAGAAATTTCCTACTGGAATCCGGGCCAACTCTTCTCCTGCTCAAATCACTGATAGCCAGTTAGCTACCTGGTCAACCTAGCACTTGGTGAAATATAGAGATTAAAAACTCACTACTAGGATGGAGGCCTGAACACTCTTGCATGGGGTACAGAAAGTAAATAACAAAGTGCTATTTACTCCTCCTACCAAAAGAACTAGGTGCCACCCAATTCAATAACTACGCAGCAGGTTTCAGATAAACACTAGGAGGTATTTCTTCATGCAGTGCATGGTCAGCTTGTGGAACTCCTTGCTAGAGGACGTTGTGAAGACCAGGGTTTCAACAGGGTTCTGAAAAGACCCAGATACATACATGGAGGACAGGCCCATGCGTGGCTGTTAGCCAGGATGGGTAGGAATGGTGTCCCCAGCCTCTGTTTGTCAGAAGCTGGGAATGGCAACGCAATGATTCCCTGTCCCGTTCATCCCCTCTGGGGCACCTGGGATCGGCCATTGTGGGCAGACAGGATACTGGGCTAGATGGACCTTTGCTCTGACCTGGTGTGGCCGTTCTTATGTACCAAGAGCTGAGACGAGCAAAACAGAAACGAGTCTCCTGTCAATCACTGCACTGAAGGGAGGTTGGAAAATCGCACTTGTTCAGACAATTTAACTAAAGCAGGTTGGCTAAAACCAAACACAATTAAAAAAGAGGCGATTGCGTTTCCTTCCCAGGATCTCCTTTCTACAATTAGCATTTGCCCAGGTTCCCTGATGGAGGGGTAACAAAGAGACAGTTACCTCTGGCCCTGGGGGTTGGTGGGAAGTGCCAGCTGTGCCCTAGGCCACATCCCCATCTGGTCCTTTCCCCGAGCCCCCACCCCTGCCCTGCCTCTTTCTGCCGCCTCCTCCCGCTCCCTCCTCTGAATATTCCCCATCAGCCCTCGCCCCAGAGCCTCCTGCACGCCAGGAAGAAGCTGATTGTGCTGGGGTGGGGGGCTCTGGGAGTGAGGGGGGGAGTTAACCGGCAGGGCCAATGGGGGTGCGAGGCTCGGGGGGTGGGAGAGGAGCTCGGTGCAGGACTCACTCAATTTTCCCCTCGGTGCTCTTCTGTCAGAGAAAGGGCTCGGCAGAGCCAGGGCCTGGAAGGTGAAAGGAGCCTAATTTTCCTATGAGAAATAAGGGCCAATGTGCCACTGTGAGGACGATTCACCACAGAGCCAATGGCCCCAGGGCAGCGGGGGAGTCTCCACGTGGCGATGGGTCTATGCCGACGAGAGGCCTTGTTGGAACGCGTCTGGGCACAACCGGCGACTGGGCCGGACGGGGCCCTCGGTGCAGGACTCACTCAATTTTCCCCTCGGTGCTCTTCTGTCAGAGAAAGGGCTCGGCAGAGCCAGGGCCTGGAAGGTGAAAGGAGCCTAATTTTCCATGAGAAATAAGGGCCAATGTGCCACTGTGAGGACGATTCACCACAGAGCCAATGGCCCCAGGGCAGCGGGGGAGTCTCCACGTGGCGATGGGTCTATGCCGACGAGAGGCCTTGTTGGAACGCGTCTGGGCACAACCAGCGACTGGGCCGGACGGGGCCTGTGGGACGCAGAGTCAGATTAGAGGCTCTAACGCTCTCTGGCCAGGAAGCCCAGTGAGGGAGGCAGAGCTGAGTGCTGTGTGGGGAGCAGTTTCTGAGGTATGACAGTGCAGCCGGCTGACTTCCTAGGAGGAACAGGCATTGAGAGGGGGGAGCATAGGGAATGGCTCAAACATCCCGAGGGGTGGCCAGAGGCAGGACACACACCCTGCAGGAGAGGGGTGCAGTGACATCACACAAGCCTTTGGCAGGCCCTCCCCATATTAGGCAAAGATGGTGGGGAGGTGGTGACCTCACTGAGAGATGCTGACATCAGCCAGGCACAAGAGGGGCAAGGCCGGGATGACCTCGCAGACCCCTGTGGCACTTGCTAAGGCAAGTCTCTGTCTCGCGTTGTCTCTCTGAAGACTCAGAGCTTCCTGGTTCCTGCACGTGAGCGCCTGGAGGAATCTCTGTCGAGCTTTTTCCTCCTTCGCCTGATTTGTCTACAGCCCAGACATCCCTGCGGAGAAGGTAAGAGCCTCCCAGGGGGTTGGAACTGCTCAGTCTGATCCACCTGGTCCCGGCTGGATTCTAGGCACGGAACACTGGGTGAAAGGGTCGGAATTTTATTCCCCACCTGGGGCTTTGTCCCTTAGAACCACTGGGGCCGTGGGGGTTTCTCCTGTTTGGTTTCTCTTTCCCCCCGTCCCGCCCGCATTTCTCTTCTTTTCTTGCCTCATTTGTCCTCTTCTGCTCCCCACCCCACATCAAGAGCTGGACTCCTGGGAGGTCCAACCAAAAAGGTGGGGCAGAAATAGTGCTCTGATGGGGATCACCCCCATGACGCATTTCTCTTCTTTTCTTGCCTCTTTTGCCCTCTTCTCCTGCTCCCCTCCCCACATTGGGAGCTGGTCTCCTGGGAGGTCCAACCAAAAAGGTGGGGGCAGAAATAGTGCTCTGACGGGGATCGCCCCCGTGATGTGGGCTGTGCTTTGGGCTCTTTGGTGAGAATGTTCCACCCCCCCCCCCCCCAGTCTCTCCCCTGATTGGCAGGACTGAGCCAGTAAGTCAGACCCAACAAGGTGTTTCGCTACGGTTGGCGCTTCTCTGCATTTGCTGTCTTGGGGCTTTTCCTCATTCTCTCCGACATTCCAGTTCTCCTGAAATCCTTCCTGAATCATGGCTGGGACAATGGTTGGTGGGAAGCTTGTTTGAAGGCACTTTCTTCAGCCCATTGAATGTCTGAAATTCAAGCTATGATGGTTGGTGAGAATTGCAGGACTCCTAAGGTCCTCTTCCCAGCTCCCCCAGGGACTGGCTCTGTGACCTAAGGATGTTTTCAGAGAAGTATCCACAATGACGCCAAGAGCTCTCTCGCGAGTGGTAATAGCTAATTTAGTCCCCATCATTTTGTACATGTTGCACATGTAGTTGGGATTATGTTTTCTAATAGGCATTACTTTGCATTTATCAACATTAACATTCATTTGCTAATTTGTTTCCCAGTCACCTCCAGATGTTCCCCCCTTTTTTCTTCACTCTGAGCATCTGAGAAAGTGGGTTTTGGCCATGAAAGCTCACGATGCTCTATATAGTAATAGAGAGAGAGCCCTGTTATTCTGCTCTTGCTAAAAACAAAAGGAAAAAACTATATCACACTTTAAAGTCTGTCAAGATAGTTTAATAGGTGATGAGTTTTAGTGGGACAGACCCACTTCATCAGATCATATTCTGGAAGAGAATTGGCATTACCATATAATTACCATATACACCAAAGGAATACAATGAAAAAAAGTGAACACATTATTAACCTGACAAATCAGATTAAGTACAGAAGGTGGGGTGAGGGAAAGGAAGGGAGGGAATAGCTGTTTATAAGTTAATGAATGGCTAATCAGAGGGGCTGTGTCTAGACTGGCAAGTTTTTCTGCAAAAGCAGCTGCTTTTGTGGAAAAACTTGCCAGCTCTCTACACTGGCCGCTTCCTACTGTCTGAAATCAGTGCTTCTTGTGGAAATACTATGCTGTTCCCGTTCGAGCTAAAGTCCTTTTGTGCAAAGCTTTTGCGCCAAGGGGCCAGTGTAGACAGTTCAGATTTGTTTTGCGCAAAGAAGCCCCTATCACGAAAATGGCGATCGGGGCTTTTTTGCGCAAAAGCGCGTCTAGATTGGCATGGACGCTTTTCCGCAAAAAGTGCTTTTGCGGAAAAGCGTCCGTGCCAATCTAGATGCTTTTTTCCGCAAGTGCTTTTAATGGAAAACTTTTCCGTTAAAAGCATTTGCGGAAAATCATGCCAGTCTAGACGTAGCTGGGGTGGTAAGTGGGGAAGCTATCATTGTAACGGGCAAGGTAATCAGTATCTTTGTATCTTTGGAACATTGCTTATTTTGAGTTCAGGGAGCTGGTAGATACTCCCTAAGGTGCTACGGGACAAGTCTTTGTCTTTTAAAGTTACAGACTAACAGGGCTGCCCCTCTGAAACTAGTTCTGTGACATCCTTTGGAAGCACTTCCCAGTCTGTTGTTGCTGTGTGTTAAATGGGAGGGAAGGAGATGCTCTCTTATAACCTCAGCCCGATTTCCCCTCCCCTCCTCCTGCCAGGGCAGAGCACAGCAAGGGCCCGGCCCCTCCCGCTTTTCTGCACAGGTGCAGACATGACAGTTCTCTGGAGACTTCCAGTAGGCTCCACCCTTCCTGCCTGCTGCACTACAAGGGTAGGACTAGGCTATGGGGAGCATCTCAGTCATGAGCTCCTTCCCCTTGGACCTGGCTTGCGCTGTCTAGCTGCTCCTTATTGAGTGAGGCTGTGTCTAGGCTGCAAGTTTTTGCAGCAGAGAGTATGCTAATGACAGACTCATTAGCATGAGTTGCGATGTCATTAGCATATTTTGTACTGATGCTTTTTGCATAAGGGGTTTTTGTGCAAAAAGGAACAGCGTAGCCACTTCCGTTTTTCGCCAAAAAGCTGTTTTGCACAAGATCTGGAGAGGCATAAGGATCTTGAGCAAAAAGGAGGTTTTGAGCAAACAGAAACAACTACACTGCTTCTTTTTGTGCAAAAACCCCCTTGCGCAAAAAACATCAGTCCCTCATTAGCATACTCTCTGCTGCAAAAACCTCACAGTGTAGAGAAGCCTGAGAGAAGTAAAAGCAGCAGCAGCAGCAGAATCAAAAGAGGAAGAAGCAGAAGAAGTAACAGCAACAGAAGATACAGCAGAAAGAAGGACAACAGAAAAAGAAGCTGCAGTAGCACAAACAAAAGAAGAAGAAGCATGAAAAAAGCAGGGCAGAAGAAGTAGCAGAAAAAGAATAGTAGAAGAAACGAGGTAATAGCAGCTGAAGAAGAAAAATTAAAAGAAGCAGCAGTGGCACAAAAAGAAAAGTAGGAGCAGCAGGAGAAAAAGCAGAAGAAGAAGGAACAGAAAAAGCATCAGTAGCAGAAGAATCAGTAGCAGGTTAAAAGAAAACCGAAACAGGAAATAACCAGCCACAGAATCAGTAGAAGAAGAGACAGACTGAAGCAGAAGTGGCAGCGGCAGCAGCAATAGAAGAAGAAGCAACAGAAAAGGATGGAGCAGCAGAAGCAGATGAAGCAGCAGGAGAAATATCAGAAGAAGAAGTGGCAGAAATAGAAAAGTAGCAGCAGTAGTAGATGCAAGGGAAGAAACAGCAAAACAAACCAAAGAAGCAGCCTGAAAAGAAGTGGGGCAGGGAAAGTTGTGGGAACTGAAGCTGATGAAGGCGCAGCAGCAACAGTAGGAGAAGTAGCAGAAGAAAAGAGGCAGGAGGAGAAGAAAAATAGCAGCAGAAGCAGAAACAGAAGCACAGGAGAAGAGCAGAAGAAAGAGGCAGTAGCAGCTACAACAGTAGAAGAAATTCAGCAGAAGAAGCCGTGGCAGAAGAAGAAAACTAGCAGCAGAATAGGTAGTACAAACAAAGGAAGAAGGAGCAAAAGCAGCAGAAGAAGAATCAACAAAAGAAACAACAGAAGAAACAGCAGCAGCAGAAGAAAAACAAGCAGCAACAGAAGAAAAGAAACAGCAGAAGAACAAGAAGCAGAAGCAGAAGAAGCAGACACAGTGGAAGAAGCAGCAGAAGAAATAGCAGCAGCAGATGAAAAGAGCAGTGGTGGCTCCAGAAAAAGCATCAGCAAAAGAAGAAACCAAGAAGGAAGAAGCAGAAGTAGTATCAGTATCAGCAGAAAAATGGAAACAGCAAAAGAAGGAGCAGAAGAAGAGGAAAGGAAGAATCAACAGCAGCAGAAAAAGTAGCAGAAGAAGAAGAGAACAAGAAGAAGTGGAGGAAAAGAGGCAGGAGCAGAAGAAATAGAAGAAACCTCAGCTGAAGCGGAAACAGCAGATGCAGAAGAAGCCACAACATCAGATCAGAAGAACAAGCAACAGCAGAAGAAACAGAAGAAGAAGCAGCAGATCAAAGAGGCAGGAACAGCAGTAGAAGAAATAGCAGCAAGAGAAGCAGCGAAAGCCAAAGAAGCAGCAGCAGAATAACAGAAATGAGCCATCAACAGAAGAACAGCAGAAGAAACAGGAAGTAGCTGAAGGAGAAAAAGAAAAAACAGAAGAAGGAGCAGAAGAAGAGGAAGTAACAGCAGGAGAAGCAGCAGAAGAAGTGGCAGTAGCCGAAGGAGCAGCAGACTTAAGCAGCAGAAAGAACAGAAGAAGGAGAAACAGAAAAACAAGTAGAAGCAGGAGAAGGAGCAGCAGTAGCAGGAGAAGCAGAAACAGCAGCAGCAGCGGCGGAAGAAGAAGTAGCATCAGAAGCAGATGAAGTAGCAGCATCAGCAGATGAAAAGAGAAATCAAAAGCAGCAGAAGCCATCAACAGAAGAAGAAAGCAAAGAAGAAAAAGCAAGTAGTAGCAACAGCAGAAGAAAGAGCAGCAGCAGCAGGAGAAGTAGCAGCGGAAGAAGAAACAGCAGCACAAACAGAAGAAGAAGCCCGAAAACAAGTATGGGCAGGGAAAGGTGCAGCAACAGAAGCTGACGAAACAGCAGCCAGAACTACTGGGAGAAGGAGCAGAAGCAAAAAGGCAGGAAGAGATGAAGAAATAGCAGCGGAAGCAGAAACAGCACTGCCCTGCATTAAATAGCACTGCATATTTTACTTTTTAAAGTGGCTATTTTGAAATTTGATGCATCTGCACAGCGCCAAATTTTATAATAACGTGCTCTTTCGAGCCGTCCCTTATTCCTCGTACAACGAGGTTTACAGGGATGGTGAAAGAGCACGTCCGCTATTTTCAAAATTTTTCCAAAAAAGCAGATACGTTCCTTGGAGGTGGTGTTGCTATTTCGGGATCCTTACAGGATCCCGATACAGCAATGCAGTCGAGACATAGCCCTCAAGGAGCAGAAGTAGCTGCAAGAGAAGAAAGAGCAGCAGCTAAAGAAGCATCAACAGAAAAAGAAGGAACCAACCCAGCCACAGAAAAAGCAACAGGAGAAGAAGTAGCAGCAGCACAAAGAAAAGAGGGAGAAGAAGCATGAAAAGAAAGGGACAGAAGAAGAAGCAGACACAGAAGCAGATTGAAGCATCAGAAGAAGACACAGGCGAAGCAGCAGCGGAAGAGGCAGCAGCAGAATAAGTAGCACCAACAGTAGTAGAAGAAGAAGAAGAAAAAAAGCACCAGCAGCAGCACCAGCACCAGCAGGAAAAGCAGCAGCAGAAGTAGAAGCAACAGCCGAGTAAGTAGGATCAACAGAGAAAGCAGCAGCAAAAGCAGCAGCAGAAGAATCAGCAAAAGAAACAACAGAAGAAACAGCAAAAGAATCAGAACCAGCACAAACAAAAGAAGAAAAAGCAAAAACAGAAGAACCAGCAGAAGAAGCAGTGGCAGAAATAGAAAAGTAGTGCAGCCGAAAAAGGCATCGGCAGTAGAAGAAGTAGCAGAAGAAGCAGCAGCCGCACTAAGAAAAGAAGAAAAAGCAGAAAACAAGTAGGAGCAGGAGAAGCAGATGAAGCAGCAGCAGAAGTAGCATGAGCATCAGAAGACAGAAAAAAGTAGAAGAAGCAGCCGTAGAATATAAGAAACAAGAGCAGAAAAAGAAGGAGTAGCAGCAACCTCACAAGAAGCAGATGCAGAAGTAGCAGCAGCTACAGAAGAAGCAGCAGCCATAGATGCTGCAGGTGAAGAAGCAACCGAATAAAAATAGGAAGTAAGAAGCTGCAGCAGGAGAAGAATTGAAGAAAGAGGCCGTAGCAGCAGCAGCAGCAGCAGCAGAATAAGTAGCAGCAACAAAGGAAACAGGAGCAAAAGCGGCAGAAGAAAATCAACATAAGAAAGAACCGAAGAAACAGCAGATTGAAGCTGCAGAAGAAGCAGAAAAACAGGTAGGAGGAGGAGAAGGAGCAGCAACAGAAGAAAAGAAACAGCAGAAGAAGAAGTGTAAGAATCAGAAGCAGAAGAAGAAGCAGACAGTGGTAGCACCAGAAGAAGCATCAGCAATAGAGAAAACCAAGAAGGAAGAAGCAGAAGAAGTAGCAGCATCAGGAGAAAAGTGTAATTGTGAAGGAAGGAGCAGCAGAAGAAGAAAGGAAGCATCAAGAGCAGCAGAAACAGCAGAGGAGAAGAAGAAGAAGTGGAAGAAAAGAGACAGGAGCAGAAGAACGAACAAGCAACAGCAGAGAAGCAGAAGCAGCAGACATAGAAGAATCCACAGCATCATATCAGAAGAACAAGCATTCAGGAGAAGCAGAAGCAGCAGATGCAGAAGAATCCACAGCATCATATCAGAAGAACAAGCAACAGCAGAAGAAACATCAAAAGAAGCAGCAGAATAAGCTGTAGTAGTAGCAGGAGCAAAAGAAGAAGAAGAAAAGCAGCAGAAGCAGCTGCAGCAGCAGTAGCAGGAAAAGCAGCAGCAGAAACAGAAGCAGAAGTAGAAGCAAGAGCCGAGTAAGTAGGATCAACAGAGAAAGCAGGAGCAAAAGCAGTAGCAGAAGAATCAGCAAAAGAAACAACAGAAGAAACAGCAAAAGCCAGCAGAAGAAACAGTGGCAGAAATAGAAAAATAGTGCAGCCGAAAACAGCATCGGCAGTAGAAGAAGTAGCAGAAGAAGCAGCAGCCGCACTAAGAAAAGAAGAAAAAGCAGAAAACAAGTAGGAGCAGGAGAAGCAGCTGCAACAGAAGCAGATGAAGCAGTAGCAGAAGTAGCATGAGCATCAGAAGAAGAGCAGCAGTAGAAGAAGCAGCCGTAGAATATAAGAAACAAGAGCAGAAAAAGAAGGAGTAGCAGCAACCTCACAAGAAGCAGATGCAGAAGTAGCAGCAGCTACAGAAGAAGCAGCAGCCATAGATGCTGCAGGTGAAGAAGCAACCGAATAAAAATAGGAAGTAAGAAGCTGCAGCAGGAGAAGAATTGAAGAAAGAGGCCGTAG